TATGAGAGGAAGTTAAGAGAAAGCATGTTCGTAAAAAATAACTCACCTTAAAAACATATGCATTTTCTTTCTTTAAAATATCATAGAGTTTGTGATTTGCCTCAATCCCCTTGCAATCTGAGGTCAATCGGAAGCCATAAACCTCTCGGACAAGAGGAACAAGCTTATCCCTCAACTCGCCACGCATTTGAGAGTCACGGGTTGTAATCTAGAGATATAACAATGAAAAATGTATGGTAAATAAATGAAAAATAGACGAACCAGGTACATAGCATTATCATAGAGTTCTTCATCTAATTGATGCTCAAATTCCACCACGACACGTTGTAGAGCTTCTAGTGCCATGTCTTGTTCCTGGCTAATATCTGGAAACGGACATTCGGTGGCCAGCTTACTGCGGTAGTCATGGATAGCATGATTGACAACATGACGATCACCCTTCTGTGAAGCGTCGCCTCTTCCATTTTGCTCTGAATAAGCTTCTTTCTCCATTGAAGGAAGCAGGTGTTCAAGGCATTGAGATGACTTGTGCTGATGGATATGTCCGTCGCATTCATCCAATTCTCTCTGCCTATATTGCCGATTTCCCAGAACAATGCTTGGTGGCCTGTTGCAAGGAGAGTCGGTGCCCTCGATGCAAAGTCACACATGATAAGAGGGGATCTCCCCATGCTTCTGAGCTGCGTCGAAAAAACGAGATTCTAGAGATCCTGGAAGCCGATTCTCAGCAACGACCTTCAAGCCTAGAACGTGATGGAGTCCGTGATGATGTCTATGCTCCATTCTGGGCGGATCTCCCTTATACGGATATCTTCACATGCATTACCCCAGATCTTCTTCACCAATTGCACAAGGGGGTTTTCAAAGACCATGTCGTCAAATGGTGCACCAAATCAGCTGAACCTGAAGAATTTGATGCTCGTCTCAAAGCATTAACAACACATGCAGGACTTCGACATTTCAAAAATGGTATTACCACTCTGAAGCAATGGACTGGCACAGAGGCAAAACATCTTGAGAAGGTATTTCTTGGGGCTCTTGCTAGAGCTGTTATAACGGTTGGTATATCTTACTGTTCACACAACGACTAACTGAACTCTTTATATTAGGAGTAGGTAGTACAAGTGTGTGGTAAAAAGATATATGCCGGTGCCTAATGCACCGGCATGCTAAATACAAGCCGGTTGTGGACACATATGGTGTCCACACTAATAATAGCTACATCTTGTGATGTAGCGCATATAACTAATATATATTAGTTATTAGATATATACATGATAGTTAATATATATACATGTATATACTGATATAACAAACTGTCTCTGTTACATCCTCCCCGGCTGACTGCTACTAGCAGTCAACTGTAGATGTCATCCAACTCAGGATCAACATCCATATGACTCTCATCAGGAAGAGCCTTATTGGCACCTACTGACGGTGGTGCCGTGTCCCCAAACTCGGGTTCACTGCGGGGAGGTTCTTCTTCATAAGGAAGAACCGGTTCATGGACTTGGTTGTAATTATCCAAGTCCGCATCTAACCGTTGACGGCTGGCTTCACCAGTTCTCACTGGTGTTGGCTCATGTACGGATAGCCGTGACTGCAGAGAGCCAGTCACTGGTCGCTTGCCCTTGTGAGGGGCAGGCGGACGCAGGGCGAGGTGCATGTAGGCTGCACGCTCACTACCCGTGCGGCTACAAGGCCGTTTGGCTTCATGCCGTATCATATATGGAATGATACGGCCGTAAATCTGTGTTCTAGCCAGAACACAGTGTTCCAGGACCAGCGCAAGGAAGTCTGGTCCTTTTGGTAATTTCTCAGGTTTAGTAGCCTGAGATTTGGTGGAGCTGCCTTTCACAATGTTGTTACCGATTCGCAACGGAGTCGCCGAATCAGTAATCCACATTTTTGCTTGGTGGTCAGCTCCTAGTAGATTCTTGTCGAATCCACTGAAAGCCGTGTCAAAATTATCACAGCTTCCAAATACTACTTTCATTTGTTCCATGAAAGCAGAGCGCGGGATATCTGCCGAAACTTTAGATATCCATGCGGCTACGTCTATATCCTCTTCAAGGAAATAGCCTTCATTGTTGTCCCGA